TATACATCTAAAAACAAAAAGGTTTTGAGCATTAGTCAGAACTCTAAGCAATGTTTTAGGTACCAGGGATGCACTACATGAGAAAAGACACTCTTGTCTAAGTTACACTTGTTTAATTCATTTATTCTTTCAAAAGTACTTATTGGATGGATATTACAAGCCAAGATCTAAGGTATTGCTAGAAACATAGAAAATATTTTATTACCCTACTTCAGAATTGTATAGCACTTTGGGCACAATAAATACAAAAATATGCATACATAATAATATGGTATGTCTATACTATTATAGGTTTAAGTATGTGGCTGGATTCACACATGAAGTAGACTTCATTTTTATTTTGGCATAGAAATAAAGACAGGATGCCTGAAAGACCTGATGTTTAGGCTGCCATAGGGAATAGCTAGATGACTGCCCTTGGAAACAACCAAGAGGGTGGAGTTGATAGCAGAGGGTGGCATGAGCAACAACAAATATTGAGAAACAGTATGACCATTTAATAAAAATGAAAATATTTGGGGGCTGAAGAGATGGCTGAGAAGGTAAAATTACTAATTGCTCATGTAGATGACCTGGGCTCAGTTCCCAGCATACATACGGTGGCTCACAATCATCTATAACTCCAGTTCCAGGAGATCACATGCCTTTTCTGACCTCCACTGTCAGTCGGAATGCACATAGTACACATACATACATACATACATACACACAAGCAGAATGCTCATATAATAAAATAAAGTATATAACATTACAAAATATTTTAAAATGAGAAACTCATTTAATATGTCCGAATGATAGAGAAACAAGACTAATAATGCAAGTAAGAAAGTGGTGCTTCAGAGTCAAAGGGAGCAGCCAGAATACAAACAGCAGTTTGCAGAGCAAACTGAACATACTCTACTAGAAGCTGACAATCTATGTGCACTATACCTCAATACATTACAGTGTGTGGTTATAAACAAATGTTTACACAAGTTCTACAAATATTTTGTGTAACTTTTTGTGTTCAAGATATTGCACCACACACCCTGTAGGAGAAAGTTGTTCACTTGTTTTTCTGAACGAATTCTTTTGTTAGAAACAAATCATTTATTTTTCACTCTAATATAAATTGACATACGTGTATGTATTTATGTACATACACATAAATATAAAACAAAATCAGTACCAAGAATGTGTTTATGAGTGAAAAAAATGGGTTAATCTGCTTTCTTTGTACTTACCAATTCAATTATTTGGGGTACAATCAAAAAATCAGTGCTTTCATTGACTCCATAGTTAGGTACTTAAGCATACACTAAAAAGAGCCCTCTTCAGCATCACAGGCACTGTACAGCAAGAACATATGTATTCTGATGCAATTCCTCCTCAGGCAGAGCAGACAGTACTTGGCTTGATTTAAAATAGCTTTGTGAAAGAAATGTATCAAATAAAGATAGGCATGTTTGCTAAATGTCTTAAAATGACATAAAAACAGCACTAAAACCTGCTCTTCAAGAAGAGACTGTTGAAGGTATTTCCTGTCTGGAAATGCCCAGTTAACAGTTCAAAATATTGCCTTGTGAAATTTGAATAAATTCATTGTTTCAGTGAAGACCCATATGCCATGGTCACAATATAGTTACAGTCCTCTGTTTAGCTGCTAGGTGGAAGTGGACCTCCTTGAAATCAGCTATACATCTTAAAATTACCTATAATAAATAGTGCCCCCATAACCATTATTTTTTCATGAATTGAAATTTATTGATCACTCAGAAAAGATTTCTTGCCAAATATATAAATCAGTGTAACTGCATATTTTCTCTAAATATACCTAACATTGTTAGCCTAAACTGCTAAGAACAGACAGCTGTATTTCAGTTTTATGTGTCAAATGTATTATAAATTTAAAATGTAAAATATCTGAGGGACTCATCTGCCTTTGTTTAATTTGTTTTAAAATGTATAATAAAGTGGGAGACAATATCTTTTCATAAGTACATGAATCAATATGGAAAAGTAAACTATACAGCAGACAAGATTGTAGAACATCAGAGTGTACCAGAGGAGTCACTCAAGTGAAAGAGGATGAACTGCAGACACACATTTATACGGCTTTTCAGTTAAAGATGTAGCTCTCTTCCACACCTGGCAAAAATTAATTGGGAATGGCCCTGCTTCTCTGCAATGCAAAAATATCCTGAGAAATTAATGAATTAATTTTTAATTAAACTATAATCCCATAACTTCCCTCCTCCCTCAAACCCCTGCCATGTCCCACCCCCACTTATTTTCAAATTTGCAGTCTTTTATTCTCTAATATTACTGATACTTATATATGTGAATATATGAATATATAAATTAAACTCATTAGCCCATTTAAGATAGCTTTAATTTTTTTTTTAGGGCTGACAACTTGGGATTGGATAACCATTTAGGAGGCTCTTCTCTAGAGAAGACTAATTCTCCCTCTCTTGGCAGTTTTTAATTGCTTATCTTGGTCCTCAGAAAACATAGTTTATAAGGATATGTGTTAATAATATAAATGATACCTTACTTATAGAAGATAGTCATATAAAATAATAGAATATAGTTAGAGTCCCAAGAAGGTGTTCACCCCACATGACAGGGAGGAAAAGAAAACATGAGAATTGCATTTTAATCTAGATGCAAATAATGAGTGTTAATGTGGATGTCAAGGTGAGAAAAGTATTAGTGATAGTAATCAGTGATGGAGCATCACAATCAGTAATGTAATCAACACAATCAGTGGTGTAATCACCAAAATCAGTGACGTAATCACCACAATCAATGATGTAATCACCCAAATCAGTGATGCAGTCATCACAATCAGTGATGCAATCAGTGATGCAGTCACCATAATCAGTGATGCAGTCATCAAAATCAGTGATGCATTCACCAGAATCAGTGATGTAATCACACAATCAGTGATGATAATGTTAAAAAAAATGTTGAGCAAAAGCCAGAAGTAAAGTTCCTGCTTGAGTACGCAATGTATGTTGAAGATGGTCCAATTCAGAGCTTGTTTTTTCACATCTTCTGTTCTGAAATCTCTGACATCTGGCCGGCCTTCTCATAGTCAGCCCCTTCCGATTCAGATTGCAACTCAGCTCAAATATCTGCTATAGAGAATTCTTCCCACTTATCCATCTGAAATGCAACATTTTCTCCTCCTTTACCAGATATTACTGATTTTTTGTTCAGTACTGACAATTCTAACAACTCTGTCATCATCAATGTCTATCAGAAGTATAAACAGAGATGGAGGATGCTCTAGTATATGCTATACTATCGATTGTCCATTGCTGCCTATTCATGGAGTGATTACATGGAAAAGTGAAGTTGAGGAAGTGTTGTGGAATAATCCTTCTGTATAACGTGTGACTATATATCATTGTGATTGGTTTAATAGAGAAGCTGACTGGTCAAGAGCTGAATAGGATATGGTTAGGGTGAAAGCCAAACTCAGAATGATGGGTTGAGGAAGGGTGGAGTCAGAGGAGTCACCAGGCAAGCACAGAGGGAGCATGAGGTACTGACACATGGCACAGAGTAAATAAGGAATACCAGTTAACTTAAAAAAGGTGCTTTTTAGTAATAAACTTGAGGTAGTGGCAGAACATTTACAATTAATATAAGCCTCAGTGTGTTTATTTGACAGTGTCTGCGGGATAGGAATTCTCCACCTACAAGGAGGCAGTTTGAGGCCATTTGTTTTCTCTAGAAAACAAATGTACTAAGCAAATAAAGCCATTAAGGCTGTCTTGGTAGTGGGGGCAGAGGAGGAAGGAATTTATTTCCCAGTGACTTAACTAGAGTCTTATTTTTGGTAGGTGTTAGGAGGGTAAATTCAATAGTGAATGTAGGAGTTCAGCAGCAGGATCCGAACACCTACACTAAGAGACCCAGCAAATCTTTCAATCATTATAGATGGAGAAAACAAGATATTCCATGACAAAACCAGATTCAAACAATACATATCCACCAATCCAGCCCTACAGAAAGTTCTGGAAGGAAAACTGCAACCCAAGGAAGTTAATTACAACCAGAAAAGTATAAGCAATAGATAAACCTACTTTACAAACAGCCAAAAGGAAAAAGGGATAGAATGCCACACATAAACTCGCCACCATCACCAAATCAAAAACAAACAAGAATGAACAATAATCAATGGTCATCAATATACAACATCATTAATGGTCTTGCCTCCCCTATAAAAAGACACAGATTAGCAGAATGGATAAGAAGACAGAATCCTTCCCTCTGCTGCATACAAGAAACTCACCTCAACTTCAAAACAGAAGGTAACTAACAATTAAGGGTTGGGGAAAGATCTTCCAATCAAATGGACCCAAGAAACAAGTGGGGGTAGAAATCCTAATATCTACCAAATTGGACTTTAAACCAAAATCAGTCAAAAGAGATTAAGAAGGTCACTCCTACTCACCACAGGAGAAATCCATCAGGAAGAAGTCTAAATTCTGAACATTTATGCCCCAAATACAAAGGCATCCAAGTGTCTAAAAGAAACATTACTAAAACTCAAATCACACATAAAACTGCACACACTTATAGTGGGAGATTTCAACACCCCACTCTCACCACTGGACAGGAACACCAGACAGAAACTTAACAAAGAAACAAAAGAACTAATAGAAGTTATGGCACAATTGGATTTAACAGATATCTATAGAACATTGCATCCAAATACAAAACAATTTACCTTCTTCTCAGCACCACATGGAACCTTCTCTAAAACTGACCACATACTTGGCAACATAGCAAACCTCAACAGGTACAAAAAAATTGAAATAACCCCCTGTGTCTTATAAGACCACTATGCTTTATAATTAGAATTCAACAACAAGAACTACAGAAAACCTACAAATTCATGGAAATTAAGTAACACCCAATTGCACAATTCATGGGTCCAGG